AGAAAGGAACCTTGCACTCGAAACCAGAGCTTCCAAACACATATTCTATTGCACTTCCTGACAGTGTCCTTTTCTGAGATCCCTACACATCTACCACACACATCAATCACATACACACATTATAGTAATATAATATATATTATAATATATATATATATTATATATAATATAATAAGTAGAGAGTTGTATATTACTATCATTCTTTTCTTTAAGATTTTCTTTAGAAAACTAGAGAGTAACCTCTGAGTAAATTAGTTTATCACTCTAATTAATCTATTGCTGAGATTTCACATTGATTTTTTCTGAGAAGAACTCTCTAAAAAGAAGTCAATTTATCAATTATTCCATTATTTTGATTAGGTATTAACAAGATTTTTCGCGAAATTAGTTAAATACAAACAGCGATATGTTCAAATCACAACTTACAAAAACCACAATAGATACGCAAATACGAACGGTTTTAGGTTACTAGTGCTAAACACATGCTACATAGTCGTTAGCCATATTACGCAGTACAGCACATTAATCTACATAGACTTTACATTAACTGTAATATAATCATGTATACAAGTATTTAACTAAGGTAAAAGAAAATTATTATCTATCTTGCTGCAGGAATCATGGTTAGATCTATTGCCACTTAGTCCCATTAGTGTAGTGTGAGTTTTCAATTGCTGAGATGGCCAGTTATCTTCCCACTCTACCTGTGAGACCCGATGCGACCTAAGGCCGTCTGCATGAATTTTCCCTCAACAAGCTATCTCCCACAACGGGGCACCGCCCCAGCCGGAACAAGGGACTAAAACTCCCGAACAACGCACTTGTGGTGTGTGTTGGTGGTGTGTTGTTGAAGGGGTGAGATAGACAAGGACAGAGAAGGAGAGATCCGTGAGGTACATGCTTTATTTTTTTGGGTAACTGCTCGAATTCCTCCTCCAAACAGCGGCTCGAATTCGACAGGTCGTAACTCTGTCGACAATCACTAAATCAAAAGAAATTCGAAGTTTCATTTTTAAAAAAAATTGAAGATGTTAGCGAACCATTTGCGCAAAGTTCCTCCAAAATCAAAATATACTATCAAATTCGCAGGGCCTTGGTTAGTTCACATGATAGGGGAATCGTGTCAATTTTGGACAAAATGTCTGAACTGTTAAACGCTAAGCGTTTGAGCATGACGGATGGTAGACGTTTTGCCGTCAATCGATTTTAAGTATCAGGAATCGCACAGAAACAGTGATTTGCTGACTACAAAAATAATTAGAGCAATGTAATTCTACTACAGGAACAAAATGTATCCTCTTTTCTTTACTATGCCGACAATAAGAAGTTTTTCCAAATTCATCATTTTCGGCACACGATTAACAAAATTTTCCTCTTTACTATTTAAAGAGAAGACGAGAAAAGTTAAAAATGAAAGCAATATTTTTGAGAATATTGGCAAAGTGTACTATGCAAAATAAAACATAAAGAATCCATTTCAAAAGTGAGTTGCCGAGCGATATTAACAATCGATCGAGGAAGTTTCATTTTAGCACAAATTCTAAATGTATTCAGATGCTAGTGTTTAGACAGGTTAGACATTAAAGTAAACAATCTTTCGGTATAAAGTAGCATACTGTGTTAAATGGGGATTTCAAATACTACTTTAGGATAAAATATAATAACTATATGGAACAAGATCTTTATTCCAGCAAAAGGTGTTTTTTCAGTGGAATAAAAAAGGAACAAGTATAGTGCGTGGCAGCCTAGGGGGCGAGGCCATCCACTGCGCACCAAGCCGAGTGGGAGATTGACCCTGTACTCGTAGGGTACAAGGCCATCTCGGGCTGTATGAAGGAAGTAGCAGGCAGTGCTGCCTGGGATTCTCTCGGCAATAATTTTCACTTTTTTTAAAAAAAAATTAAGTTTATCAAGGGAAAAAAATCTCTTTAGGGCAGTGTCCGTTTCCACACACCACTCGCCAAAAGCTCGCACTACGACAGGGAGGAACTTCACGACGGTCCCAGTAGTTATTCTTCGATGTGCATGTATTTGTTCCTCTTACACACGCATTGACCTCCTGTAGGTGACTGCTGTTCGCAACTGCGTTGTGGTCCGTAGCGATCACAAGGTGACGACGCCCTCCCTGTGCATCTATCTGGTTTTCGTATACGATGCTCAACACACACACACACATATCGCGACCGCAGCATCTTTGACTTGATCGAGTTCTCGATTTTGTCGCAACTGCCACAGCCGGAGTGAGCTGCTCGGCTGACTGTTTAATTGTTTAGAACAGTAGAACAGTTCAGCCCAACGGCGTACACGAACATGTAGATCAGCGGCCTCGTGTTCACTCCGGACCGGAGGAAGTAAGAAAAAAACCTTTGTTGATTCTTCAAGGCCGAGGCAAGTATGCCTGGAAGTCGGACATCACGCCAAAACGCCTGTACGGCCGCTTAGTAAAGAGAGTTTACTATATGAAGGAATTGCTTTGACAGCTTCTGCTTGGTCACTGCTGGCAAAATACACAAGTTACGTCCATGCGCTCATTTTGTCAGTGCGTTCGTGTACAGCTCGCTCATTTGAATTCTCGGCTATCCGGGAGACACCGCGTCGTTGGCTGGGGTGCCGACGTTTCGCCTGACATGTCGCAGGCTTCCTCAGGGCAGTGACTCCACTGTCACCATAGTCACTGCCCTGAGGAAGCCTGCGACATGTCAGGCGAAACGTCGGCACCCCAGCCAACGACGCGGCGTCTCCCGGATAGCCGAGAATTCATGGATTCGAGCCGCGGAAGCTTACGTATACAGCTCGCTCATTTGTAACTCGCTTCACCACTGTCTCTTGAAATGTCATCGCCCTGCGTGACGTTCATTTGTTTCCCGACCCGACAAAGTGATCATTTCTTAGAGTAACGCCTCTATATAGTCTACATCGACAAGCTACCTCCGGGATTGGGCCGTGACCGTGTCGCCTCCCGGGGGGTTCTCGTCAGCGGTCGTTGCATACGGACACCCGCTGCAGTTGTGACGCCAGTGCCCGTTCTCGTCCCACCGCGGGGCTGCCTCCCGTAGGCCCGCAGCTGCAACACAATAGGGGGGGGGAGGACACGGGGTGGAGGCAGAGTCTTGGTCCTCTTCCGGAGACCCCACAGCGCGTAGCCAGCCGGAGTGGACTCTAGGCAGCGGGCTGCTGCCAGCAGCAGCCACAGGGCTCCCTGAGTAGGCAATAAGTGCGGGGGCAGTAGCAAGGGCCGCACAGGTGCGGGGAAGGTGTCTGGTTCCTCCTCGTCCCGTGCGACCTGTAGCGACCTCCGCGTAGCCTTCACCTGGCTACTCGCCGTCGTCTTCAGCCTCGTGGGCAGCCGGTCCACGTACCTGGAGCTCCTCGTCGGCCGCACCTGTGGGCGAGGAGGGGTTGCCAGATGACCACTTGTCAGGCGGGGAAGAGCGTCGGGAGAGTCTGGGGGAGCCACTCTAGCTTGAGACGGAGAGGGGATTGCCGGTCGGGAGACAGATGAAGTATAAATTGTGTCTTGCATCTGGTGCACCCGACAAGTACTCCCACTCGCGCACCTAGGACGGTGCAACCTTCTGAGCACGCAGCCTCCTGGGCGAGATCCGCGTTTGGAATGTCGCTGTTGCACTCAAAAAAGTGGCGGAGTCAGGGGCCAGTAACCTTTTATTTGTGAAAATTGATTTAAATATTTACTTTAGATTTATGTAATTATTTAAGAAATATTGTTTAATATCATACACTACAAACATAAAATACAATATAATGACCCCAAACCTTCCTGGTTACTCCCGATTTCTTCAAGAACATAATTTCGCGTCACAAGAGCAGCCCTGTTGTCAAAATTTTGCGTGAAAACTACTCATGACCCCAAAGATAAAAATCGAGTGGAGTAAGGTCAAGAGATCTTGCTGGTCAGTTTCCAGGACCACCGCGACCTATCCATTTTCCTGGGCACTTCATATGGAGTTTTGTACATTAGTTTTAACATATGGCGGTGCTCCATCGCGCTGAAAATACATGGAACAACGCAGTGGGAGAGGCACATCGTCTAGATGGGAAGGTAATTCATGTTCAAAGAACATCAAATACGTGTCTCCAGTATTGCTAACAAAATAGCAACTCGCCCTTACCTCTATCATGCCATTACAAGCAAAAGGAGGGTTCAACAAAACGTGCGCATAGTGAAGCTACATTTACGTCCAGAAGCAAAACAAGGGGACATCTCAGCATTTGCTCAATAGATCAGGGAAACAGGGCAAAAACCTCATCGAGATGGGTTTAAACGCGCGTTACATTGGGGAGAGGCATTGATTATACTCGAAATTTGGGTTACGTAATTTATGGAGAAATAATTTTATTTTGTTTTGAGAGCTTTCGGTGTAACAGTAATGTTCCCTGCGTTAAACTCATCGCGGGGCTCATGGTTAGCTCTTGGTCAGTGAGCTCGCTTTCTAATACGCGGCCCCGGGTTCGATTCCCGATCGAGCCTGAGACTATAGAGTGCGTTCTCTTTGCAATGTCCCAGTATATGTTGCTGTGTGAAAATGAGAAAATTCACTTTCAAGTTGAGAAGACCGTAATCCGTACGTACACACAACCCATCACGATTTCACATTATTCAGGCGCTGGTTTTCCGACGAGCGTCGCACAGGAGTCTTGAGAACTTCTGTTGGCTGAAGCCCTTGACATCAAAAGGAGGATTGAGATCGTTGGAAACAGCCGCTGAGCGTTAGCGGCGTGACATGCCCAAATGCGTACTCGCTTGCACATGATTGCGCAAGCAATGTACAGAAGAAATCGTAAAAATGTTTCAATATCTACTTCTTTGTACGAAGCCCTTGCTACACCCCAGCCAGCCAGGATTGGAAGGAAGAGGGTTGCCAGATGGTTGGGAGATTCCGACGATCTTGGCTACCCAGATCAGATTTTAAATAAATTCAATGTTATCAAAAATTTAAAAACACATTTTTCTTAACTTTAACCCTTCAGCGTTGAACATCGGGTTCGGTAGCATTCCTAGACAGGAGAGAAAGGGGACAAGTGTATCATAAGCAGGAGCAGGTAGACAGCTAGGTTCGTTTCTGTGGCCCTGCTTCTCCATATGAGAGTCAGCACAGAGAGAAAAATCCCTTGACCAATGGATCTATGAAAAGAATGTCTTTCTTGAAGACTGAATCACATGTTTAAGGGTTAAGGGATGCAGAGAATTAGCACCACAGACTTTTACCATTTACAACCAGAATAATTGGGAAACTTTCAAACATACACATCACCGAAGAAATGATACAGTCCCTATGAGAAGTTATACAGTTTATTTTCAACTTTCTAGTATTCTGAAAGTAAAATGTAATTCTGTTGCTCAGTTTACCTGTACCTACAAAGTATGAACATCTACGGGCAACAACTGTTCTTAATAGCTATTTTTACAAAAAGGCTATGAAAAGTATGTTATATTATAATTTAATAGGATACTTAAAAAAATGTCTTTTTACCAGAAGTGAAAATTTTTACAAATAGAAAATTAAGGTAACAAAAGGATTAACAATTTTCTGTTTTTAGTATGTTCAAAGAAAGATCCTCTGATACAATTAGTTAATGATGGATGCATTAGGGCCCTTGCAGTATTATTTCACCTTTGGAACAACCACATCAATAGCTTTCAAAACTACTGTTTCATGTAATCAACTTCTACAATTCTTGTAAAAATAGTAATATCCTTCTGCCAGTTCATTTTAACTTGTGCAAGACTAAATAAAATATGATTCAATAAACAGTATTGATCAACAACCACCAAGAGAATTTTCACCAGTTACACAGTTAAACACATGTGCATTTACATTTTCAAAGTACCTTTCAGAATAAGATATACAAAATTCCTTTTAAACACCCCCAAGTCGAAGTGATCATTCATTTATAACTGGAAAATGACACAAAGCACACAATACTCTTTTCATTAAAACATTCAACTTTGTATCTAACTGCATTCAAACAAATTACAAAAAATTTGCACACAAATCCTTTCTCATAGCGAGAGTTCTCACTATGCAGTTCCACAACATGGAAAATATCAGCAAAAGAATACACAACATGTGAAATGGGAAATGATATACAATATCTTCAGGGCAGTCTTGAGAAGTCTATGGGTCGAGTTCTATCTCAGAGAACCCAGAAGTATAGGAGGAAGACTAATACAACAATGCACCCTGCAGCTGCCTTCACATACATTGATTTTGCATTCAAATACGCTGCATCTTTTTTGTACTTCTGGGAGTGCATTGATAAATTTAGAGCCTTGTTGTCTAATTCTGAAACATAAAAAGACATAACTGATAATATCCTCATAAAATAAACTAATAAAGTTCAACCACACTAATACAATATTAAAGACCTCTACACATTTAATGTTATGAACTAAGCTTGTGGACAAGAGAATTTTTTTCCCCACATAGAAAATTATTAGATTTATCAATATTTAAATACATCATTAATTCTTCATAAATATACAAATGAGAATCCATCACTACAAAGAAATGGATAAGTTCTGTTCAGGAAGAGGACTAAATTGGTGTTGACCTGTTCTTAGCAAAGTATTTCTCAAACTTTAAGTAATAGCATGCCAAAACTATTAGGGTAAAATGAATGGCGTTAGGTAGAATACATCCAAGCCACAAGAATTAATATGGCAGAAAAATGACTTGGAAAGTTGGGACATATCTTAAAATTTAGAACAGCCAATAATATATACCTAAATTCACTTCAGCAATTAATGAATTTAAAAAAAGTAATAAGTGGTTTACGCAAATATCGTCTGGATGTACTGTGAAAATCAAAGGAATGTAATCAGCTGTCTAGAGAGTGACATTGTTTCCTTTTTATATTGTGGGTTGGTTGCTTTCTGCAGAATGCCATTGAAATAGTATTTCAATTTTTTATTGTTTGTTTTGTGCCATTGTCATGTATCTATTCAGAGTCACGGACCTGTGAAACTTGATAAATTGTGCTGTAAAATTGAATGTTGCTGTAATCAGAACATACATTATGGAAAGGAATTGTTCATGTTCACAAAACCTCAAAGTAAAGTTTACACAGACCTAATGGAACCATTTAATGACATGTATAACAGCAATCACAACCACAATGTAGTGCCAACCATTTTATTCATCTGAGTTTAACTTACTGTCTAAATTTCTTCCTGAACTTTATTTTCAGGAATTTCTCTATAGGCAGAGGCAACCCTTTTACTCACACCAATAACTGGACATGTCTGATTAATTTTATTCTTGAAAAAAATATTTGTACATAATAAAATACATTTAATAACAACTCAACAATGAGAAACATGCTAATACTTTTAATATTTTGTTACCCTCTCTTCAGGTTTCCTGATTTTGCTTCTTTATCTCACTATGATTCTCTCTCATATACTGAACCTTCTCACTACAAACACCCTTTTTCCATTGATCTTCCTCCACGAGTAAATATGTAAACATTTTTTTAAATCAACTTTTTGTAATTTGATACATACCAGAGAGAACAGCACCTCTTTGTAGAACATCATCTATGTTCTGCACCATAATTCTTTGAACATCTTGAAGTTCTGTGTTCAGTGCAGATAAATTCCTCCTAGTCCTTGAATCTGTAAATACTTTCTTGGCTTTTTGAATGTATGTATCTGGAAAAGTACAGAAGAAAGCTTTTTCAAAACAACTAGCAGCTTCGTATTGTTCTGAAATGAACTTACATAACCGAGTTCAAATTATACAAAACAAGCAAATTTCAACTAAGACAATTGATGATATGTGAATGGTAAGTGGTTAAGGATCATTTCAATACTAGAAGTAACTATAACGTTGCCTTAGCTTCCTGTGTTTCTTCACCCTAAACTGCCTTGGGCAGACCCACACCGCTCCCAGCCCACAAATTCCCAATTTCTACCCAAAAAATGTTACATTTTCCCAGCCTACTTCACTCACTTTCTAACTAAAATAATGAACACCTCTAAATTAAAAAATAAATAGAATACTTCTATTCTATCCCATTGTAAAGCAAACTATTTCTTGTATATTTTTCTCAACATATATTCATAAATAGTATACGTCTACAATCGATATCAAACACCATACTGAGGCAACTAACTCTTAATTACATTCTAAGTGGTTTCAATTGCATTTGCAAGCTCATTAGTCTCAAGATCCATGAAAAATAAAGAGTGGTTGACAGCAAAGAACCAATAATATTCATCTCTTAGATTTATATAATTGTAAGATTTTCAACAATCCAAGATCAACCAATTTGACAGAAGTATTTATATATCTAAAAGAACCTCTTTACTTCTATTTTCAACCATCTTCAAAAAACAATGTTTAGACACATGCTCAATTCCTTCAAATACACATTTTCCCTTAACTCTTTTATCTTTATTATACTTTCTATTGCCAACTTATTCTCACCAATATCAATCATTTTTTCACCACCCAAAAGGTACTCACTTATTTTCCATATTAAAATCTATAACTGAAGTAATGCATAATTGGGGATGTATGAATTAAACATTGTGCCTAGTTATTCACAACTAATATTACTGTTAATTATTTTCTACATTTCTCTACAAAAACTAATCCAATGAGTCACAGTTTTAGAATATAGGTGTTGTGGTGCGTTATCGTTGGGATTTTTCATGAAATAATTAGAAAGGGGGTAAAGGGCAGTTCAAGCAAAAAACAAAAAACTTACGAATGCCATTTGAAATACGAAACCA